GTCTTAGTTACTTCTGTTGGCCTAGCTTCTTCTCATTCAAAACCAAGGTGTGGCCATTTAGCTGCCTTATCCGGACTATACTGTATGGTTGCCAACCGGTCGTATAACTATCTACTGACCCAGTACGATTGGTCAACCATGCAGTGGTCGATATAAAATGTCAGCTACCGTTAACCTAACCCTGAACGTAACAACAGGCCTGTGTGAACTTTCCCTGCTAACTAACGCCTGCTAGCTATCGTTAGCTCCTGCTGCCTTGTCAAATAACGCCGGCCATCACTGACAGCGAGTTATAAACTTAACGCTAACAGTCAATTAGCTAACGTTAGCACGCCAGGTAACACAAGTAACTTCAAAACCTTGTGTCGTTTTCACATGATGTTACTTTGTCGAATTTAGAGTGCCATCGTGTGTATATAAATGTGGAAGTTAATGGGTTGACAGTCGAACTACAAAACCATAACCTTAAAAAGCTAACTGTCTCCGAAACTAAAAGGTGGATCGCAGTAAAGCTAATGTTAGCATGTTAGCAAGCATCGTTCGAAAGCGCGAACATGTTTAGCTAACGTCAGCCAACAGATAACGTTACCGAACCAAGGGGGTTATGGTCACACATCCTATACATCTAACAGCAAGCGTTAATAACCACTCAACCAACGCGAAATAATTCAATACACCTTTCATAATGGATCAAGCCAGGTGTTAGACAACCTCGATAAACGTAGGAAACATTTTGGTGTTGTTAGCCAACATTAGCATGCTAACGTTGCTAACGAGTCGTAACGTTAAACTAGCAGCGCTCTTCACATGAAGGCCCCACGTAACTATTTGTTGTCAAACAGCCCCCACACTGTACATTTTCAGTGCCGGCTTCGAACTGTTATTCGTGTTAAAGTTGCAACACTCACCAGCTGACTTGTAGCTCTTGCCATGGGAGTTTTCCACGAGTATTTATTTGGAATAAAATAATTAGAGAAGCTCCAGTAATGGCTGCCTCTGCGCCTTCATTTTCGAGCTGTGACGTCGTTCCACAACAATGTTACCGCAGGACAGCAGAGGAGAGTCCCGCTGTGTCCGCCCCCCTCAACACATTTACAACCTACTGAACTTCATCTTACTCAGAGAAATCCAGCCGCAGTTAGTTGATATTTTAAATAACAGTTAACATTGCATACACACTATCTTTGCATGATGTATTGTATCGAGTTATCTACAGGTATTTTTAGAAAATTTTAACTCCTTAGCAGAGGTGGGAGAAGGACTTAGATATTGTACGTAAGTAAAAGTAGAACTACCAGAGTGTAGGAATACTCTGTTACAAGAAAAAGTGCATTCAAAATGTTATTAAAGTAAAAGTACTATAGTACGTTTCAAAATATACTTAAAGTACCAAAAGTTAAAGTTCTCATTATGCAGATTGGCCCATTTCAGAATAATATACGTTTTGATTATAATTATCAATGCAATAATGTGTTTACCAAAGATAGTGAAGGTGTACCTAGTTTTAATGACTTTGTATGATGCAGGGTAGCTTGTAAATGTTACTCCAGTAAGTTAAGTCCTTTTTAAATGTTGATTATATTTCACATTATTAATCAATATCTGCAAAGTAACTAAATGTATAAATGCAGTGGAGTAAAAGTACACAATTTACCTCTGAATTCCAGTAGAATTACAAAGTAGCAAAAAAGTGATATACTCAAGTAAAGTACCTTAACATTCTACTAAATGTAGTTCTTATGTAGTACTTGAGCAAATGTACTTAGTTACTTTACACCACTGCTACTCAGGCTGTCTCAACTTCTTTATAGAGGTATGCGTTTATAAAAACATCTGTATCCAACTGAAACTGTGATCAACATGTATCCCATATGCACCTTATACTAAATTAATTAGCCGGTGTTTACATTCAAACAAACATACCATTTATTTCATATATTTTTTTATTTAATATAAAACTGGTTAGCGCCAAAATCTATTCTATGCATCATGAGATTTGAAAAAGTTATGACAGTCATTGTATTAGAATACAAAGATCCATAGATTAAATATGCTTTATTTTCATGAATTTTATTCAGTTTCTTCGTCTTCATGTGACACTGTTCTTGAATCATTCTTGCTTTTTCCTTCTCCATCCTCTTCTTCATCTTCATGATGTGACACTGTTCTTGACTCACTCTTGCTTTGACCTTCTCCATCCTCTTCTTCTTCCTCCTCTGAGCTGTCCGTATCTTCACTAGAATCATCATCTTCAGGGGCACTAAAACAGAAATAAAGAACTTAGTAACCTTACCAATGATAAACCAATTAAACTGGATCAGTAGTGATAAAGGATTTGCAATCATATATATCCCAACAAAGTTTGCAAACAGTGTATCTAAGGGATTACCTCACTCTGATAGATGTAATACTTTTTGGTTTAAATGCTTACCACACACGTCTGTTGAGATTCCCACATACTAATCCAGAGTTAACATCAAATGGATCTGTGAACAAAAAAGATGAATAGCTTTCAATTAGAAGAAAATAGATTCAACAAGACAGGTCATAACTGAGCAAATGCATCCTTCTTTGTGTACGGGGCAATTTTCTACACATGCTGGAAACAATTATCCTGGTTTCAGACTTCTGAATCACTGCCCACATCTCTGACTGGTTCAGCTACTCAGATGAATCAAAATCAAATCCACAAAGCAAGTTTGTCTAATTATTGATGAGTTTAGGAAACAATTCTACAGTGTTCAAACATTTGGGGAAAGCAGTCTAGAAATATAGGTCAGATATCATAACATAAAATGTTCTTTATTTTTGTAATTATTTGTTTTATCAAATATAACAAATATGTTTTATGATTTTCACATCCCGACTGTATGCATGAGACCAATGTTTCCAAATGAAAACTCAGCAGTAGTGCGTCACCATAGCAAAAATACAGTATATATAAAATAGATTAACATTAATATAAATTAGTTTAGTTCCTAAGATGCAGTTACTCTTTATTCTTTAATTTGAAGCAGAGATTTCACCCAAATAAAATGTAATAGATATTGTAAAGCTTAAGCCAAACCAAGACTAAAATAAGGACAGATGTGGGACTAAAACCAAAATGACACAAACCAACCCTGCTACACACATTTTTAGGGAAACACTGGATGGGTCCCCATTTTATTTCTCTCTCCCCCATTTTACCAAAGTCATCCTCCTCTGGTTTAGCGGTGAGAAAGTCTTTTTCCACAGACAGCAGCTCCTCCTCTGACTGGCATGCAGCATAGCGCTCCAGCAGAACTTTATTCAGATCCAGGAACCCTGTCCCCCACTTGAATTTTTCCAACAAAAGCATTGCTAGTTCTTCAAAACCTGTAAAATCAGATAAAGTTTGTTAAGAGTTTCACAGCCGTAACTTTTAATAGTATATAATAAAAGTAGTCAGAAAAACCATACAGTACAAAAAAACTAAAGCTTTGGCCTTACCAACAATGCAGAACGTTGCAGCGAAAGCCTCAACACAGGACAACTTGCAAGGCTTGCCGTAGTTGACGGGGTTTGCAGCTACGAGGTATGGCAGTAACCTGGGATATGTTCCGACCATTTTATTGAAGGGAGTCTCATCCAGTTTAGCCCAGGAACAATCAATCACTGCTAGCCCACTTCGAGCCACAATCTCCCTGTGCATAAAGGTCCATAACAAAGGTTAAATCCATAACAATTGTATTATCAATGGATCATAATAAAGACAAATAATGAAACACAAATAATGGTATAATGGTCATTAATATAACTATAAAAAATGTATTAATAATTTTTTCACTATGCTATTAAATAACACAAAAAGTGTACAACCTGGACCTTAACATTTAAACAGGCTAAAATACATAACAATATTATTATGATTAGACTAACTGTTATATGTAGCATCTTATGGCTTTTCATATGAATCATCATGATGTGTTATAATGATTTAAAAAAAATGCACACCTGTCTGCTGGGGTCACATACTTTGTGCCCATTGGACTCAGTATGAGTCCATTGAATCTCTGGTTGAGGCGCAGGTTTCGTACGAAGCCCTTGCGTACCAACTTTCTTCCGGTACAGCGCTTGGGATCACAGTGACCCAACTCCCACATGGCAAGTGGACAAGGCAGTTTAACCTGAGGGGCCTCTGCTCCCTTCTCTACGTGATGACTTGCTGAAAAACACAGTGACAGAGGATAAAGTGTGATTATGTTGCAGTGTGATCACTCTCACCTAACTACAAGATACTTACACTTAAGGGTTTTTATTGTTTCACATTATTCCTCAATGACAGTGATGGACAACCAGTGTATTACTATTTACTTACTAGATATTATAATGGTAAACATCTAAAAGGGGTGTTTTCCTATTTTACATTTGTCTTTAATATTAACTTTTCAAGCTTGATAACCATTGTACATTGGGAAATCTTAGTATTGTAGCACACATGTAAAAGATGAGGCAAGCAACATACAGTTAAAACATGATTTTGTAATATGAATAGTTAAATAATTACCGTCAAAAGCAGTGTGCATTTCTTCTGTAAAGGTCTCCAAGGTTTTTCCTTTCATCTTATGCCTTTTTTCTTTGCCTCTGTTTTCAGATGTGCGCACAGGCTTTCCCTGTTTCTTTTTCCCCATGTTGCAACTAGTGGACAGCTAAATTAGTAAATTACTGTCAGATAACAGCCTCCATTTAACTAACCTGAATCTGTTTACTCTGACATTAGCTAGCTAGCTACCTAGCTATTCCACTGGCACCAGTTGTCTAATTTATGTAGCAAAAAGTAAACGTTTTGTATTTTAACTGCGTGTAAACCATTCAAACGTTAAAGCACATTTTCGAAATACAACTGGTATAAACCTGAACTTATTTTTACACCATTTAAAATAAAGTTTAGCTAGCTACAGCTACTCATACAAAGCATGTCGTATTACAGTCCATCATCACGCATGCGCAAAGCTTGTTTTGATCACGTGGTCTATCATCTGACCTGCGAACACCAAAGTAGGAAATGTAGAAAGCAACCATAGACTGAAAGCAACACGATAGCACATTTTAGTCAGTAAAATAACAACCATGCACTGCTTGTGTAATGGAATACATGCTTTATTAAGGATTTTGGTGGTCTGTGCGTCTCTTTTCAGTAAGTTGTTTTATTTTAGTAATACCTAACCATATGCGCTGGTGGGATGTTGTGTCTGATGTCGACCTGTTTTTCTACACAGTTAACCATGGATTGGCCGGTAAAATGAAGATAGTGGAGGAGCCAAACACTTTTGGGTAAGTCAACTAAAAACACATCTATCCCATTGTGCACCTTGTTTAATTTAGCCCCTTTATAACTGATATTTGCTGTGTTTCTCTTTAGGTTGAACAATCCTTTTCTGTCTCAGGGAAGCAGACTACAGCCTAAAGTGACCCCATGTCCAGTGTCTGGTATAATAATTTGAAGCCTACATTTGATTTAATCCTGTGTGTGATTACATGTAAAGTAAAGGATCAAATATTAGATGTTGACATCTAATCAAGATGTTTTCTGTCGATCTACTCTATCAGACTGAATTTATTTACCATATTCTTATACATATCTTCCTTAAGGCCCTGCACATTTTCATCAGCTCGCTGGAAAGTGCTTCAGTTATACAGAGTCAACGTAAGTAATTTACATCCAAAACAAACCGCCTTTCTGCTGGTTCTGTACAAGGACCCAGCTTCAAATACAAAACAATAACACTGTATTTGTGTGTTTGGTTATTTTGCAGGTATAAATATGAATTCTGTCCATTTCACAACATCACCCAACATGAGCAGTCATTTAGATGGAATGCTTACAGCGGGATACTCGGGTAAGATACGCTTCCCTTCCACACCGGTTTACCTTTATAGGGAATATCAATATTTGAATTACTCATGACTTTTGCATGTGCATTACAGGATCTGGCAGGAGTGGGAAATGGTAAACAACTCTTTCACAGGCATGTGGATGAGAGATGGGGATAACTGTGGAACGAGAAACAGGGAAACAAAGGTTAGTGGGGCTAAAAATGTTTAAAGTCTTTCTGGTTGATATTTAACAGAATAAGGAGCTCCCACTGACTTCTCCTATGTCTGTGTTTCTTCTTAAATATAACACCAATCAAGTAAACCTTTAGGAAATAAAAAAAAAGTAATAACCGAATAAATAGATTTGTTAAAAGACTACTTTACCCACAATATGAACACATGTTTTGTTTTTACACTCCTTCCTAATTGGCCAAATCTTTCATTTATATATGAACTCAAATTCATTGTAACAATTAATCCACAATAAATACATAAAATGTGTCTTGTAAATAGTTTCTCTTCATGTTTTTGTAGGTGATTTTTGTCTGCAGTGCAAGCAGCAAGCTCTCTCAAGTCTCAGAGCCCAGTACCTGTGTGTACTCGCTCACATTTGAGACCCCACTTGTTTGCCATCCACATTCGCTTTTAGGTAAGACAAAAATAAATATCTGACGCCGCAAGTCAGTGTAATTGATAGTGATATATTATCATATTTATGCTCTTTTTTTTAAGTGTACCCAACACTGAGTGAAACGCTCCAAAAAGAATGGGATGAGGCTGAGCAGGCTCGCTATGAAGGACTCGTTACTGAGCAGGTAAAAAACTGTTAGGCTGATCACTTGCAAGCTTAAGAAGGACATTAAGGGTTCCCAAAGTGATTCTAACACATAAATATATATCTTTTTACCATTCGAATCAAGTTGTTGTCATATTTTCTTGAAACTGACACACAATGTCTGTTTGATGCAGGGATACAACAACCTTTTAAAGGATATCTTTGAGGATGCCGGTCTCCTGAAAAGCCAAAAGGTGAAGATAAAGCCACCAGAAGTTGTAGCTGATTCAGGAACACACAACTCCTTACAGAAATGTACAGAGGTGAGTACATTTGTGTTCTTGGTAAATAGATAGATGATTATAACAATACTGTTTTAAATGTGACAGAAATTCTATATTTCCTTAATGTTTCATACAGGATCTCGAAAAACAGCGAGAAGAAGTCAACAGATTGCGCTCTCTCCTCACTCAACACAACATTCCCTTTTATTCAGCGCAAAGTAAGTGAATTCAAGCAGCCTGTCTTAACTACTTTAAGTGTTATAGTGTCAATACCCCGGAATAATTCAGAAATGTCTTTGCTTTATGCAGCACATGACCCAAAAGGCCCACCAAGTACAACAGTAAAGGAGCAACACCCACGAGGAGACCAAGGCCTTCTTGATCAGCTTTTTTATCAATGACAGTTGTTGGACAATGTTGCCGTCACTGCTGAAGGGACTTAACAGTGACACTGAGAAAAACTCATTTCTGTGTTACATACTTCTGACTTTAGCAGATTTTTTTTTTAGGAGTAATGACCCTCAGCTGGATCTCTCAAGGACTTTATCAGTCTTGTTAATGAAGGAAATTCTGTCAACATGCAGCATATTGAGAAATACATTTTGTTTTAACAACGTTTTGGGAGAAGAGAAAAATTGAGTCCTTGAAAACTCTTGCAGGTAAAGATTTTTATTCTGTACTGGACTTTGTGGTTACTGCATACAGAAACTGGATGTCCTGCTCCAGGTAGAAGGTACATCAGAAAACATCTATAACAGGATAAATGAACTGGACATTAAGCATTTTATTAAATAACTTAAATGTGTGTCAGACCAAAAGACAAGAGTAATGGTAAAAAAAAAACTTGAAAGAAATAAGCATATGGTGATATTTTTGTGTGTGTCTTGATACAGTGAGAGGAAGTTATTTAAATGTCTTTGAATATTAAGTGTACTGTATTTGCATACATTTCTAATAATACAGGAAGTGGTGTCAACAGCTTAAAATTACAAATAGATTCCGTTTCCTTCCTAAAATTAAGAGTCAAAACTCTTAAGTGTGTGTAGAGCAAGATGCCACTGCTTCTCCTATACCTACTGTATATCTGTTGAGGGCATAGACTGTATGTGAATTGCAGGGAAAACAGAGTCTACACAAATGAGTAGTTAAACACACACGTAATGTATTATTATTATTATGTATTGAAAATGGACTAAAGGGCTGGAGCTCCAAAACACATGTATCATGCTTATACCTTGAGTGGATGAGAAAGATATTCTCATCAGTGACTTCACAGATTATGGAGCTGACACGTATAAACATGTCTACAAACATTCCTGAGACTTCTTACTCTCATCTTTCCGTTGTATCCTTAGGGGGGTTTACATCTCTACTCATCTGTCCACAACGGTGCAAAAAGCTATTTGTAATAAAAAAATAAACTTGAGAAAGTTCTACTATATGAAAGCATTTGGGTGAGGCAATGACACACACGCAAGGAATGTCAAAGGAGGAAAGAAAGGTTAACCTAAATAGATTGAACATTGTAATGATTAAGTGTTATTGGATCAAAATGCATCTTTTCCTTAAAGGGCCGGTGCAGAAACAACAGGTTTTAGCTTGATAATCAGGCGTCATTCAGTCCACTGACCCACGAACATGCTTCAGTCTTTTTCTTGTGGAGTTCATGTGTGATGGTGGAGGGTTATGAGAGCAGCTGGATGACTTCTCTGGCTCTGTGTGCCCTCTGCTGGACATCTTTGTCCTCTGGTGCCTGTCCCGACTCTTCGACCAGCGCCATGGCCTTCTTCACCGTCGTGTCTTTGGCTGCTCCTTGGAGCCCCTCCAGGTACTCCAGCAGCACGGAGAACTTCTCATCTGCAACCTGAGAGAGAGTCATTTATGATCATGAATCATGTTGTCTGTAAGTTCAAATATTATATTTTTTAAAGAAAGATACAAATATTTAATAACGTAATTATCTCTAAATGGAAGAGTCTTATTTGAAAGAAAAAAGGTAAAAATGGTTTAGGTATACAACAGAAACCTTTTCTAATAATCCTTCTGTTAGATGTGATAACTAAGGTTTCTATACCTGGTTTTTTCCTATATATATTCATGTTGCACAGTTGGAGGAGCCTGTGACTTAAGTTGTTCATTGCCATATCTACACTGTAGCTAATGTGCACATGGCAATAAAGCCTTGAATCTTGAATTTGTGAAATTAATGTCATAAGAAATTAATCATTTTATTTCCCCTTTTGAAGACTGAGACTGATGGCCTGTCTTTCTTCCTGGGACTTTGGGCACATGAAAACAGCTCATTATATTTTACAGTGGGTTTAACTCACAAACAAATCAAAACAGGAAGACCTCGCTCTGAGGTCAACATCGCTCTTACTCTGAACCTAAACTGCTAGAAATCCCCCATCATCACCACGCCGTGTTATTTTACCTGTTCGGAGTCAAACATGTGCTGCAGTAACCACGTCTGCCTGATCTTCTGGAACTTCCACTCCGCACGGTTTTCAGACCAGCTGCAAAAGACACAACCAGAGCGAGTTGAGTTACGAGAAAGGTGTTGGTTTTTGTTACCACAGTTCGTAGCATGTGTCATTATACTGGGTTGCTTCACAGTGTTTACTTTGTGCTGTCCTTGCACATGCAAAACAATTGGAAGCACCCTGACCTTAAAACCTGCTCCAGAAATGTACTGTTGCATTATCGTATCACAAAAGACGGATAAGACAAAGACTAGTCAAAACCAAAGTGGTAAAGGGTGAGCTAGCCTGGGTTTAAGTCCCTGATTTGGGTCAATCTCAACCAAACTGAATCATACACCTCCCACAATGCAAGGTCTTTCATAAACCCTGCCTCTCTGGTGAACACCATCTTTTAAAGTTAATGCATACAGTTTGACACAAAGGCTTTTTGTTTTACATCTCAATCCAAAATAAGACTATAGGGATTGTAGTTTTTCTTCCAGTCTTTAAAAAGCTTTTTCATATTTTTGTTATTACTCCTTATGACTAGTATGCTAAACTTTGTGTGTGATTTCCATTTAAAATCTGATTTAATACATTCACCACGAACAACACCCACAACAAAGACAAAAGGTCACACTTCTGACAGCTTCTTACTATGAGCAATGTACATTATTAAAGAGGTATTTCTCTTGAGATGCTGTATTGAATTGTATTACATTTTCTTGTTGATTACATGTGATTTTGCTGTGAAATGTTACCGAGGATATACTTCATATTTGGTACCATCAGCACTAAATAAAGGGTTTAAAAGGATGGTTTTCAAAGCTTTTTTTGTCTTGTGGATCAACATCATAGCTTAAATACCTTAAAAATAAATGTTAAAACTATATATGTGAATTGTTTTTGAGCCATCTTCCCCGGGCTTTCTGGTAAAGACGATACATGGACTGATGGCTTTCTATTTGACATTATGCACCTAAACAAGAGCAGCTCTTACCAGGTGAGGTACAGTAAGGCCTGCTGAGGACCAGTGGGTCCAGATGCCGCTTCAGTTTTCGGTACGGTCTCTCCCTCAGCTTTAATCCGCTTTTTTTCCTCCTTTTTCATGACCTTCTTCATCTTCCTCTCCATGACCCTCTTCTGCTCGGGGCTCAGGTCCTCCTCTCCCTCCAGCTCATTGGGCGGATCAGGAATCTGTCGAGGCAAAACAAAGGCTCATGGGAGTTATCTACATTAACAGACCTTCCTTTTTAGACCCTTAGGGAGGCTGTGGCTCAGTGGATAGTGTGCTGGACTTCGAATTAGGGGGTAGAAAGTTCGAGTCCCACTGCAGTCAGCATGTCGTTGTGTCCCTGGGCACTTTACCTCAAATTGCTCCTGTGGGGATTGGCCACAGTATTGAGTATGTAAGTCGCTTTGGATAAAAGCGTCTAACATGTAATGTAATGTTATAATTTTCTGCATTTGTGTAAAGCAAAATGAAACAACCCTAAATAACATGCGCGGTGATTGACTGATAAGAAGAAATGTCAGAACAATAATTGGACTTTTGTGTACTGAACAGCCATTTTCTGCCAGCTTTCAGTATTGGTCAGTTTTCTGGGTCAATGCAGGGCAAATGCTTGAAGCATATCTGAAATTGTATTTCTACAGTCAAATGTAAAAATAAATTAGACATCTTGTTTTGCTAAGGCACATTGACAACTGAAAGCTAAAGCGCTATTTGAGTCTGAATCACTTCCTGTTGTGCTGCAGGTCAGAGGGGTGTTTCCTGTATCTGCAGCCTGACATCACACGCGTTTACGCTGTGGTGTGCAATATCCCTCTACCGCTGCATGTAAAGCACGCACTTGCACTGTATCAAAATAAACACGGGTGTGAAGCCTGTGAGAAAAATTTCAATTTTCTCACTGCTAAACTTTGCAACAATATCACAAAGGAAAAATAAATATGATCTAAATTTGAAACAAGTTAAATGCATTATCTAGCTCCTCATTTGTCTGCAGAATGATTGATGCTCTGCAAATGATGCCAAACTTAATCTAAAGAAAAATAAAGAGACCAAGTTAAAGTCATTTTACTGCAGTAGTCAGTACCGACAGCACAGTTTAAAGACTGCGTTTAAGGCTCAGAGGAAGTTAAACAAGGGGCACAGTATGCTCTGATTTAACGGATCTCAGTCTGCACGGTGATGAGAGAAAAAAAAAGAGGGAGGGGAGGTAAGATTTGATCACATGGCCACGAAGTCATTCTGAAAGTATGCTATCGAGGTATCACCCAAAGAAATATAAAAAGTCCTTCACGGTGAGCAGCTGTGTCCGACCAACGAGCATCTTTTTCAGAGCTTTGAGTGGAACAGCGGGGCCGGTGGAGACAAAACAGAAGACGAGGCGGTGACGGAAGCAAAAAATGGTAAGTGGAAACATGTGTTGTTACAGAGCAGACGGTTACTTAGAGGGGGAGCAGACAAAGACTCGCTAACTCAAACATGTGGTCGTAGAAAAGAGTTTAGAAACAAAACTTTTTACTAAACCTAGTCCTATTTTAGAGATCTATAATAATTCACTATCAGTGTAGCTCTTATTTTATGTGATTTAGGATGGAAATGCCCTGCTGTATGTTGCAAGAGTTCCTGTGAAGAACTCATTTAATGATTAATCGGCAGATAAGGTGTATTCACTTCTATAAAAACAGATATGTGTAATGGTTCAGAAGGGGTAGAACTAGTTTTGCACAAAAAAAACGTCTGGACTGGTGATAAATACTAAGTTGCCAAATGATCTGTACTTTGCAGATAGTTCTCTATATTTATTTTAGGAACTGCTTGACAAACAGTGGAGGGTGATGCTGAGCACAGGATGTCCTCACTGGGTGTTTTCTCTTTTCATTTCCAGTCTAACCAAAGCGAGGTTTTGGCCCCACCCGGGATGAACACCACAACTCCGTTTCTCAACACCATCCTGAACACCTCCACTTCGACAGTCCTCCCTTATGATGACTTACACACAATTGCAGCCCAGGACATAACCTCCAGGGCGAACTATATCTACAGCTTCCTGGCGGCACTGGGTTTCGTGGCGGGCTGCTTCCTGTTCTACAGCTTCATCCAGACGTACAGAGCGCTGAAACGGCTGGCCTGGCTCAACCGTCTGCTCTGGGCCTTCTGTGGCCTCCAGCTGCTGCTTCTGCTCCTCTCTCTGCACGTCGTGGTGTACATTCCTCACTACCTGCGCACCACAGGTTTGGGCTGTGCTGCTCTCTCCTTCACCATAAACACAGTCTCTCTCTGCAGCCTGTTCGTTTTGGTGCTCATGGCTTACGTCCTGACCCTGGATCCTCCGTCCCACGCCCTGCTGAGGAAGCCTTGGGTCTGCGGGGCTTTGGTGAGCCTGACCTCTTTTCTGATTGCTCTGATGCTGGCTGGGCTTCGAGGACCCAGAGAGGGTATGCAGGTAGAATATATGTGTGTTATGGATCCAGTCAGTGCTGGTGTCTCATATGCCGCCGCGAGGTTGTGCCTGGCTTTTCTGATTCCCTACCTCCTCCAGCTGGGACTTCTCATGGCTGGCTGCGTCCGGCAGTGGAAATCCAGAAGACGTTTCCTCTCCGGCTCCGAGGAGGGTCCTGTGTTCCTGACGGTCACTGTGGTCATGTTTTTCTGCCAGCTCTTCTACAGCGTGGTGCTGGTGAGAGGAGCACAACTCGCTCAGAAGGAGGGGCTCAGCAAACAGTTGTGCTCCTATCTGGTGAGAGGAGCACAACTCGCTCAGGAGGGGCTCAGCTGCCACGAGCAAGCGTTTCTGACCGTGGCCGAGTTTGTGTTGTTCTCAGGGAGCAGCGCCAGCCTCCTGATTGTGCTGCTCATGCACCGGCCGTGCAGAGAGAGTCTCCACGGAGCGCTGAGGCAGCTGAGGGACTGCTGCAGGAGCCCAGGGGCCTCGCAGACCAACAGGAACATCATAGCCCCCCACATCGAGATCACAGACACGCTACAGGATATAGAGTGATCGAGGACAAAACTCTCTATATGACAACAAACTGCTGATGTATCAACAAACTTTAGGAATCTGATGTTTAAGACATTTAATCTATCTTTAAAATGCTTGTTTCTTAAATGACCATTTTAACGTTTTACATGCATCTTTCTCTTTTTTAGCTTCCAACTATTTCTTAAATTTCCTTTTTTGTACTATTTTATTTAAAACCTTTGGTGCACATATTCCAAATTGTGCAACATCTACTTAGTCCTCAGTGCTAAGTCACTTTGTTGAAAATATGTTTATAAAGTTGTTGTAATAACTCCTCTCTGAATGGAACCATTAAAAGGACTGACTGTTGGTTGTAGTGGCAATTTTATATTTTGTTAACCTGCTTTTGACACGACACAAAAACAGACTTGCATACACACGTCTTGCACAAAAGCCCATTTACTCAAAGTGCCTGGAAAAACCTCTCAGTTTCCCAGAATGCAACATAGGAAAACATTTCCTCCAGGAAAATATAAGTCAGGTTTTAAGTTTCGTTCAACAGTGTCAATATTCTCCATGTACTTATTTCTGAAGCTGTTGAAAAACCAAAACAAGCCAGTCGAAGTGAAACTCTGAACTTTACGGCTCATTTCATGAAATATATGGGCACGAGTTCTAGGAATAACTGAGCTGCACGGATCACATATTGCAGTGGTGCCAACACACAGTGGCGTTAAACGAGGGACCAGTAGGAAAATTAAAACATGGGCTTGGTTGCATATGATGCTGGCACCACATTTAGATTCAGATCTGATTCACACTGTGTTAAATCACAAAAACAACCATTTCAGTGAAAGATCTATCGTGCCGTAGGTCAATCACAAAAATATAAAATGTAAGATATGATGCATTACAGCATTAACTTAGCAAATCTTCTACATTCAACATTGTTCTTATCTTTAATAAGTCTTTGTGTTTTAAGGAGTCAAAAGAACAAATGGAGTAAGACTAGCCTGCCTGTCCTTCTTCTTGTTTTGTGTAAATATAAACTGGTGTTCTCTCTTTGCCAGGAATCCCCAGACTCCCATATTTACACATTGCAACATAATACAATCATAGTCATGTACACAATTTGGTATAAGTCTCGACAAGTGTCCTAACCTAACATAATTATGTATGCATAAGATAAGTAGGAACAGAAATACACCGGGTATATTCATTGCAAATTATGCTGTATAACAAACAAAAGCAAGGATGAAAAAAATAGTTCTGTGTTTACCCAAAATATACTGTGTGTGTGTGTGTGTGTGTGTGTGTGTGTGTGTGTGTGTGTGTGTGTGTGTGTGTGTGTGTGTGTGTGTCTTGCTGTAAGTGGTGGGTGGTACCAAAACACTTCTCTGGATTCACTGTGACACCTACTTTCAAAGTCACCACCGTATGGACAGGGAGGATTTGAAAAACTGAAATGCAGTGCAAGAAAACCAAGGTAGGTTCTTTCAAAAAATATATATGAATCAAATATAATTTATATTGAAGCTAACTGACTTTTTCTGTCTTACAGTTTTCTGTATCTAGTTAAATGATATACAGTAGATTTGCTTCAACTAGCTGTAGCACAACTCTTGAATGTTTTAAGCTTCTTTTGAAGTATTAATTATTTAATTGATAGAGAAAGACATCTTCTGATATTTGTTGCGTCCTGAAAGCCTATGCCCTACACTAGGGCTGTGTAACATAGCAACATCTTCTATCCTCGATATGCATTCAAATATGCCATGTTTTCAGGTAATGAAGTTCATAAATAGACTATACAGTATGAAAAAACTACAAAGGAAATCATTTTCTGTGTGAATTAAATAATTGAGAAATGTAAAGTGAATTCTCATTTAATCAAGAACTCGATTGCAAGAATTACATTTTTAAATAAAATAGTATAAAGTCAAGTATTTGAATTTCCAGCTATTACGTGACATAAATATACTATGTGTACATGGATGGACCCAAAAACAAGGTTGTACAAAGGTATTTCTCATCAAATGTTATGAGAAACTTACATTTGTATGCACTTGTTATTGTTTTAGAAAGCGTACTTGTGTATCACGCCACCTCGACATATGAATTCATCTCGATAAGATTCCATTGGAATAGGATAAATAATCATATAGATCGTAAAGCAGCACAAATTCTCAATACATCTAATTCTTAAGGAAATGAAAACATTGACTTACTGCATTTCTCCTCTCTGTCTAGAACAAAGAGCGGCCATCACTACACTTCCAAAAGGACCACGACGCCGAAAGAGGAAACAGATGACACCACAATCTCCACTGGGGCTAATACCTTGGAAAACTACTGCTAACACCAGATCACCACAACAGTGCAATAAATAATATGGACACAACGATGTACGTGGACAACAGCGTCTTTCCTGCTCAAATAAATGACTCGAATGCAGTTATCTCTGATTTCCTGCTAGCAGAAAATCCTCAGCGTTACATTATCAGCCTCTTCCTCTCCAGCCTCTACATTATATTCCTGTTCCCTGTTGGCTTCATCGGGAACATCCTCATCTTAGTGGTCAACCTGTACGACAGGGGCCGCCTCTCAGCCCCGGACCTCTACTTTGTGAACCTGGCCGTGGCCGACCTGCTCCTCGTTGCCGACTCTCTGATCGAGGTGTTCAACCTGAAGCGGGGCTACTACGACCGGCCGGGCCTCTGCACCTTTATGAACCTCTTCCAGCAGGGCAACATGTACAGCAGCGTCTTCTTCCTCACCTGGATGAGCTTTGACCGTTTTGTCACTCTGACCGGCTCCATGGGTCACAGCATGCCTCACCCCCGCCTCAGCTGCTGCCTCATCTGGGTCGCCTCCTCTCTGCTCACCGTGCTCCCCTTTGCCATAGCTCAAAGGCAGCACGCAGGAGAACTCCACTTCTGCTTTGCAAATGTATCGCAGATTCAGTGGCTGGAGGTGATGCTGGGTTTCCTGCTGCCTTTCTGCATCTTGGGTCTGTGCTACTGGAGGATAGCACAGGTGCTCGGGCAGAGTCAGAAGGTGCAGGGCGGCCCCCAGCCGAGGCCTCGCAGGCAGAAAGCTCTGAGGATGATCTCAGCAGCCGTGTTGGTGTTCTTCCTCTGCTGGCTCCCGGAGAACGTGTTTGTTAGTGTTCAACTTCTGAGAGGGGGGGCAGACGGCGGCACGCTGTGGCAGGACTACCCTCTGACTGGTCACGCTGCCAGACTCGCTGCGTTTTCTAACAGCTGCCTGAACCCGCTCATCTACAACTTCTTCGGGGAGACATTTCGGGATAAACTGAGGAGGAGATTCACGCTGCGCAGGTCAGCCTCAGGGAATTGTCTCCGTGCATCAGCTTCGAGCTCCTCTGGCCACGCAACCTGCTGCAGCAGAGTTTCCGTTAGAATTTGTTTTTGCCGGTCAACACGTCCGTTAGAGTTGAAATCTTCCGGACAAAATGAGACAAGTGCCAGTCAAAGGTCTTCGTTATTTATTGAGCTTTAAAACTAATTGATATGATTCGATATTAAACAAACTAATTATAGTAGACGTTATTTAAAAGTGTACAGTAACTTATAATAACACGGGAATAATAAACGGAGCGCTCTCTTCCTCTCCTGACAGCCCGTCAGTATCATGCAGCTCGCGGATCCAGTAATGAGTGACCCGAAATAAACATATCTATAACTAGTTTAGGTGGTTTGAGAGGTAGCCAAATTAAAATAGCTACGTGTGATATTCTAACCTGAAGTGTGTGTTTTGCTCCGCTCACCGCTGCATGTGATCATACAGAGCTGCGTGTCGACTCGTCAGCAGCAGCTGATCTCTCTCTCCCATCAGATTAGACTTCACTCGCGTTTATGTCCATATCGATCAGATCTAGCTAATGATATACCTGCTTATCAAGACACCTAAACAATAAGTGTCACTATGCAACCGGGTGAGGCCGCTAAGTATAGCGCAGCATTATGCATTTGTTTACATGCCCACCGGAACCCCGAGGCATTACCCACTGTTGGTGTGCTGTGCCTTTTTTTCTCCACACATAGCATTGTGTGTTCCTTTCAAACAACTCAACTTTGGTTTCATCTGTCCACAGAATATTTTGCCAGTTGTGCTGTGGAACATCCAGGTGCTCTTTTGCAAACTTCAAACGTGCAGCAATGTTTTTTCTGGACAGCAGTGGCTTCCTCCATTTTATGACCAACTTATGCAGAAATCCAGGTAATTCCAAAGGTTTCACATACTTTTTCTTGCAACTGTATGTTAAGCAGCAATCCTCAATTAAGCCTGACACTGGCTGGTCAGCCAGTGGAACAGGTAAACGAGACTAAGTTGCTTGGCATTGTTCTTGATTCTGGTTTACAGTTGACAAAGCAAAGAGACATAGCTGTGACGAGAAAATGTACAAAGTATGTAACACCAACCACTTTGAAACAAGTCATTCAGTCTCTGGTTTTGTCACATCTTGAGTACTGTCCGGTCATATGGTCATCAGCAGCGAAAACGCATATACAGAAATTACAAATAGCTCAAAACAAGGCTGCCAGACTCGCTCTCCACTGTTTGAAGCGCACTCATATTGGAGTTATGCATAGAAACCTATCATGGCTTCCGGTTGAGAAACGTCTGCAATCTCGTGTAATCACTTTTCTAAAAAATGTCCAATTTAGCAAAAGACCACTGTATTTTTATGATCAAATAGTTTACACAAGAGATGAGCATGACCATAAGACTAGACAAGCTACATCAGGCCATCTACTGGCACCTAAACCCAGGACAAATCTTCTGAAATCTTCTGTGTCTTATAGAGCTATAAAGGAATGGAACTCATTGCCAAACTACCTTGCTGAAATAGAGTCCAGAGCCTCTTTCAGAAAGAGATTGGCCATCTACTGAGCTGAGCTGAGCTGAGAACCCTAATTCAATTGAATTTGATCGCATGTTGTTGATATTGGTGATGTTTTTAATGTTGTTAATGATGTCAGGACTTATGTCCTAAATGTTGCTGTATTATTGTTGTATTATTGTTGTATTGTTTTAAGTGTCGGACCCCAGGAAGAGTAGCTTTTGTCGAGAGCAAAAGCTAATGGGGATCCTTAATAAACATAAACCAACAGATCAACGCACAATCAACCCATACAGGACATCTCTTTTTCCACATTAAGTGTTAGACATTAGAATTGACTATTCTTGTCTGTCACATAAGTGGCTCAACTGATGTGGTATTGCGCTAAGGGGAAATTATTTTGACCGGAGAGATTTAGATTTGCCGGTCTTCAGCATATTTTAATGGTCAAAGTCCGGTAATTACCGGCTAACGGAGACTCTGTGCTGCAGATCCAACCAGTCTGCACATTCAGGCTCAAACATCTTTCCACAAACTGGGCTACTCCAACAAAATAAATGATGCCATCAGTGTAAAGACATCAATAATGGAGAATGTGAGAGAAAGGACTCCAATGGCTGTGGATCTGTTTGTGTTGAATCAGTTATTTAAAAACAATAAAAGGCCAAATAGACAAAAAAACTACGGGAATTCTTTAAAAGTGACACCTTCATGAACATAAACCGGATTCTGACCAAATAAACTTCTGAACAGTGAACAATGAAGGAATCCTAACCAGGAAAAGCTGACAACAACACAAGGGATGTAGCAAGCATCCAACCAATCTTTGCCATCATAAATGAATTTAGTAATACAACTGTCTTTCCTCTCACTAACAACTGTCTTCCAAACATGTCTTAGATGCTGTGCATTTTGTTGTTTAGCACCATTACACATCTGTGTTTTGAAGACTGTATCATTTCCAGCACAAGTAACATGTTCTGTATGAACCCACACAAGTAAGCAGTCAAAATTCACCTGAATACTCACAAAAACAGGAGGAAACAAATGGAAAACACACATACCTCACTTTGTTCGGTCTGTTCTTTCTTTTTGTGTTTCTTTTCCTTTTTTTGCTTTTTATCTTCTGCTGTGATGGTCACAACCTGTACTGGAGCCTCCTGAAATAAAATATATGTTTATTTGAGCAATATCAGTTATTGTCATATAAAACAGGTACGACTATCAGACACATGTTTGCCATTATAAATACAACTCAATTGTACAAATACTATATAACCTCTCACTAACAGATTTCTCAAAAACGTGACTTAGATGCTGTACATTTTGTTGTTTAGACTCTTTACACATCTATATTTAGAAGACTGTATCATTGCTAGCACAAGTAAAGAGGTTTATGTATGAAGCCACCCAAGTATACAGTCAAACATCACCTGAATACTTACAAAACAAATGGAAAACACACGTACCTCAATTTGTTCTGTCTTTTGTTTCTTTTTGTGTTTCTTTTCCTTTTTCAGTTTTGTATCATCTGCTGTGATTGACACAATCTGTACCGGAGCCTCCTGAAATAAATAAACAATCATTGTTTTTATTGGAGCAATTTCAGACAGTGACTTCCAAAAAAAGGCACAGTTACTGCTGTAGTGCTGCTCACCTCAACTTCCATCTTCTTCTTCTTCTTTTTGACTTTAGTGTCCATTATTTCTTCCTCATGAACCTCGCTGACATCTGAATTCAGCTTCTTCCTTTTAGACGGACTTGTCTTGTCTTTAGCCATTATATAAATGTTCTTCTGTAAAAAAAAACAACATGAGCATGTTACTACACAACAGAACACATACATTGAACTACTTTGTTGGCATTAGTGACAGACAACATAAACAGAGACTGAGAAAGATGAGGGCTTTTGCATGCCTCATATGCTGTGATAAACATAACCTGAAGCCAATACTGGGGAGTATAAATCATTTCGACCTGGACTATAACTAAATATGAAAACTCGCTGTCGTTTTTCATGGCAACAAATACAAATGCGACGCTGTTTATGGTATATACAGCAGTAGCCGCATAACACTGCTATTAACACTAAAATGATATCATAGAACAAACAAGTATTTTTTATCACAGGATTCTCATACTTACTTGAACTGCAAAACAAGCGTGTTAAGATCTGAAAAGCACAGATCAAGCATGGGATCTCAACCAGGAAGTCATTGACGCCTAGGTGAATTCTGATTGGACGGATATCGCTCTTTGTTTTCTGATTGGACGACGGCTGTGACTGATTCAAAGACCCTCGATTGGATGGTAACTGAAACTTCAGAGATTTGTATTTATATTGTATGATAAACTATATTAAAAATGTGATAAATAATGACGGTTCAGGATTGATAGTGGTTTGTAAATATGTCTCAGTACTAAAAATGCAGCATTACAACTCTATGACATACAATAATAATACAATTATAGTGAATGAAATGCAGTGTTGTTACAATGTGGTGTCTGAAAACATAAACGCAGCTAGTAATGAGGATTTAAATTATATGTATCAAACATATATATTATGAATGATAAGGTGAATTATGAACTTAATTAAATAAATGTGGTTGCAGTTGTAGTTCAAAATGTGCAGTGATGTAAAAACATATGCTTCTGTTTTTTACAAAACATCGAATACAGACCACTTGGGGAAAATACATTTTAACAATATGATAATTATAACAACGGGATAATTGTAATGTAAATAAACAGACACGTTATAGCGGAACGTTCCAAACCAGGGTTAAACAGCGTCACCGGACACAATTCGATGTTGCACAATGTTGTGTTACATGACCTAACCAAGGTGCATTGGTAAGAAAAACTTCAGAATCATTGACTTGACGCCGTTTGTCCTAAAACAACAAGTTTTCCGAGATGTACACAACAGCAGGACGGGTTTTCTCCAGTCTGACACGCGTGGCTTTAATTCGAGGGAAATTCGTTCATAATGCGACACCGACCGTTGGGTGAGTTACCTGTTAATAAATCCGCTTATAGGAACCACGTTGACTCCGTCAGAGGGTCGTGGTTCAATAACAAGGGTCTAACTGTAATACATGTTCCACCTTATTCTGTAAACATCATATAGTATGAAATGTATGGTATGTTGTCATTGCCAGTATATTTCTGCATGGTTGCATCATGTGGGTGGCTGTAGCCTGTTAGCAACATGGAGCTTCCTTATGTATAGTCACACGTTTTGATATCTGTTTACCAAAGATGCAAACCCATAAATAAAAACAAGGTCACAGATGTTGATATTCTGCCGTGTAGGGTTTGAGTCTCACTATTTGGCAGAGGTGGAAGAAGTACTTAAATTATATACCTAAAAACGTACCAATACTACAGTGTAAACATACTGAGTCCTGCATTCAAAATGGTACTTAAGTAAAACTAAATAAGTACAAGCATCAACATATACTTGAAGTACCAAAAGGAAAAGTATGCATTATGCAGAATGGCCCATTTAAGCACCATCTATTTAAAAATGATTGTATTATACTCATTGATGCATTAATGTGTTCCCATAAATACAAACAAGGTCACACATGTTGTGTGCTATGTAAGCTCTGTATAGTTTGAGACTCACTATTTGGTTAACCCTCTCCATATTGTGTTCTGTCCTGACATGAATTCAGATAGATTCCTCAATAGCTATAAATACATTGCAGTATCAAATTAATATTAGTTTTCTGACAAGCTGCCACTATATGACGATTACTGTCCTAGCAAATGAAAGTACGAGTTATTTTACAAGTTAATCTCAGTGTGCCAGGACCTGCTGAGTCTCTGTGTACTTGTAGAAGTATTTAATATAATATATATTACATCAGGGGTTTTAATTATCCAAGGTTAAAACACTTGGATAACATATCATAATCGTGGGGGCTGCCAGGATTTGTTGAATCATTTACTGTCAATGGTGCAGCTGCAGGATTCGTCCACAGAGGGCACCATCACTACTTACTACCCTGTACACAATAAACACACATAAAACTCAAGGTGACAGTATTACACAGACTATTAAAGCCCTACTGATACCAGATTTGGAAGCTGATAATTTATTTTAATGGACTATATTGGATCAAAAAGAAATGTTGATCCTTAATCAAAATCAGATTAGCCTTCCATGATAAGCCCCTATTAAAACCTTACATTTTATATACAAGTATTATTTGATTGTGTGAATGACATATTACCGTGAAGTAGGACATTTTCACGATTGAATATGTGCATTATTGGGTGGTTTGATTTATACAAATATGTGTAGGACAGGAATGTTATAGTTTAGTACTGCACTAGTAAAGGTTGTAAGTCCCTCGATTGTCCTAACTCATTTATTTTTTTCCTTCTCAGCAAAATGAGCAGTATGCAGTCCCTCGCTCTGAGCTCTCAGAAGTCGGCTGAGTCCATAGATGAAGCTGAGGAGGTAAACAGTGAGCCCATCAAGTTCTCCACCAGTAAAGCCAGTCACAGAACTTGGAAAGTCAGACGCTCGCTGGGGAATAACCAGGACCGCTCCTGGAAGAAGGTCCTGCCCGTCAGCCTGGTGTTCACCGGCCTGCTGCTGTGGGCCATTCTAAGAGACTCTGGTCTAGACCTGGACGCTCCGCTGCACGAGCATTTACCCAACGTGCTTTCAGACAAAAAGAATAAATCAAGTTAACAAATGTGGGACTTGAGGTGTATATATATTTCTGGCTATATTTATTAACTGTATTTCAAAATGTGGCAGCAGCGTATTGCTCTGAAAACACAGATTTAGCAGGGAAGCCGTCCAATGCTACAGAAACTGATGGATTGTTTTTGACCATGCTTTGCCTTTCGATTTTCAGTTTTGGTTCAATGTTTGCTTTAATATGGATTAAAATGTGATTGAAGCTTGTTTTGTCTACCTTGAAGCTTGTTTTGTCTACCTAGAAACAATGCAATGTTCAAATCTTGAAATGAATGCCCTTTGAAACTGGCCATTCAATTACTGTGCAATGGAATCCTGATTTTGAACGCATTTACACTTCCAGTCATGTGCATTGCTTTATGAACCCCTGCAGCGTTTATTTTACACTTGAGACTGGAGGAGACATGCAGCTAACCATGCTAAACCCAGGTCCTCCACTTATGGGCCAAATACCTCTGCTGCTTTTAAATTCAGCTATAATTAGCACAATCTCAGTGTAATAGTTTAAGCACAATTATACTTTTAAAACATTAAACAGTTAAAAAGTAAGTCAGGCCATAGTTTGAGGTAGCGGAAAGTTTATTTACAGCACAACAAGAAACCCCATGACATGCACACACAGGATTAAAAGGGTACAGATTCTAAAATAGTTTAGCAAACCTGAGAAAGGCAGTGGAATATTTTGTTATTCAGCATATTACAGATATGAAGCTCTATTCTACAGTGAATGAGTTGAGGAGAAGGTAAAGAGGGAAATGAAGAGTACAAAAAGGAAAAACATGCCTGAAACTACAAATGACAACGTATGTGGTACACATGCTGGTAATAGTTCCAAGATTTACAAAACAAAACCCGGTCAATCCCAACCCACCCCCCCACTAAAAAGATCAAATACATGAATCATTTATGCACGCTCTCCTCTAATTCGCCTGGCCAGCTGAATGTCCTTGGGCATGATGGTGACCCTCTTAGCGTGAATGGCGCACAGGTTGGTGTCCTCAAAGAGTCCAACCAAGTAGGCCTCACTGGCTTCCTACATGGGGAAAAGAAAAGATAAGTTATATTTTTCCAAATGTGCTAGAAGAATCTTTCTAAATAACCAAGGCAAACTGAGGTTTTCTAAGATCTAGTTCCATCTTACCTGCAGGGCACCAATAGCTGCACTCTGGAAACGCAGATCTGTCTTGAAATCCTGAGCGATTTCCCTCACAAGACGCTGGAAAGGCAGCTTCCTGATGAGCAGCTCGGTGGACTTCTGGTACCGACGGATCTCACGCAGAGCGACGGTTCCTGGCCTACAACAAAATTATACATTTGTTAAGAACACCCTCAGAACAGAAATAAGGGCCATGTGAAGCAGCATTGTTTCACTCTTGAATATGATATCTGAGCACTGATGACCATATGTACCTGTATCTGTGGGGCTTCTTCACTCCGCCGGTGGATGGCGCGCTTTTCCTGGCAGCTTTGGTTGCCAGCTGCTTCCTAGGCGCCTTTCCTCCGGTGGATTTACGAGCGGTCTGCTTGGTACGAGCCATTATTCACCTGCAGTCTGAAAATGAAACAAATGAAACCAAACCCGTTAGATTAGACATTAGATTTCATAAGTAATGTTGATGTCCTCACTTTAAAAAAAAAATTTTAAAAAAGACACAATGACTGCCCTGGTGAATTATAAGCCAGACTGCAGCAGCTCCACTATTAACAGTCGGTTATGACCTACATCCTAATTCAAACATGAACCCCATTATCACGAGATTTCAGTTTGAATGTTACTGGAGATGACTGTAGAGCCAAGTTAAATGTTTTAAGCGGCAACTCATCTGTCTGGGGACCCTTCCTTTACAGATGTCTTGCAATCGGGACACCGATTGTTTTAATTATACAAAACAAGCCTCTCTAAAGCCGAGCCACCATTAAGCTTCGGGACTCATACACGTTTCTTTGCTGTCGTTGGCTAGATTTAAAGCTAGCACCGACGGTTGCAAAATGGCGCCAGCTAGCTTTCATTAGCTTAACATCAATACCGAAAACACCGGCAGCCATCTAAGCCATTTTGATAAACAATAACTCCGTGAACCGCTATGTTAGATTGTTAAAACACTTTACTTGATGAATCAGGTTTTTTTTTTTAAGTATCTCAAATGTAGCTAACAATTAGCAGTCTGGCTATTGCGCGCTGTTTTGTTGTGAAGTGGTCGAAGATTAGCGCTCGTCCAACTGCATTTTAACGGCTCTAAACCACCTGGAAATAAAAACTCAGCTTACAATGTATAACAATCAAGGCCTAAGGTAGCTGTAAAACCATAGAAGTAGTTGCCGCTTTCACGTTACCTTTTGTGTTTATTTTTTCCTGGAAGTTGTAAGTCCTCGTTGTAAGTCGGTTGTCTTCAGTGATAGGAAGGAGGAGAAGGCGGTGATATTTATACTCTGATGAGCACGCTTGGAGTCCCGCCTCTGAATCAATGGGATTGGTTGTCAATCAAATCCACGAAGACATTTGATTGGTGGAAAAATAAGGTCTGTTGCGAACCGCCAATGAGAATCAAAGAATAAAAGACGAGGGATCAGTGCCTGTGCTAAGGATCCTTATGAATTGAAACATTTGGACATTATGATTTGAACAATTAGTACTATTTTATAAATGGAGTAGTCGACCCATGGTGTTGAGTCATTGTTACATTCATTGTAATAACATTCATGAACTCCAACATCTTTCTTACCAGCCCACATAGTAATTGAATTAGCTTTTGGTCTTACATCCATAGGATGTACTACGTTTTCCCTCAAAGAGTGGTAATCATCATGAAGCTCAAATGCATTTATTTCCTTCAAATTAAGCAAAAGGGAACCCAGCTTCCCTACAAAAGATTTTTAATGTAATGTGTAGTAATGTTTATTTTTAGCATCAATGATTGGTGTGGTCAGTGACAGGTGGTGACACATTCATCTTGTTTGATCTTAAGTCACAAGTTACATGTCTGATACATTACATTACATTAGTTACATTTCGCCACACTTTTTGTCTGTTTGTATACTCTATTGTAAGGTTTTTTGAGTTTGTTCTTATTTATGAGGCTGTGAAAGATAGAAAGCTATAAATTAAACTTTTAGAGCATGTTATCAAAATTTACCAAAATCTCCTTGTCTTTTTTTATTTTTCATTTATAAAATACATCAAATGCGTCTGTAAAGTCTGTGTCTTTAAGTTTTTCCTAAGTCACTCACTACACTAATACCGATCAGGAGAACAACAGCAAGCAGAACCATTCACGCTGGGGAAAGATTCCCAGACGGACCGATTATTGGGTTACACCGCTGGTAAGTTGATGCAAATGAAAAACCTGTAATGAACTCAACATGATATTACGGGAAATAAATAGAAGTCTATTATAAATGTTTTCTGAAAACTTGAGCCTGTTTCGCTAAGTTTTGTTTATCCCTGAAACGTCGAGGTAAATATTTCCGACCTCTTTCAGCTGAAACCTGCGACTGAGAGAATCAGAATGACCGAGCAGAGGCTGCTTTTCATGGGTACATTAAACCTTACAAATCATCGCAGCATGAACTGCATGCTGTTTATAAGATCCTTTCTGTAAATGCATGTGTGTTCCTCCTATGATCTCAGAACAGCACTATCAGGTTGTGCACAATTACGCAATACTCAGGCTGAGTTTTGCCTGTATTTATTTTTTACCGTATATTTGAATTAACATTCCTATATAGTTTCCTTGCAGTTCCAATTTTTCTGAATTATTATAATTTCCCTTGTTGTAAATAATAATAATAATTATGATGTGTGCAGTTTTTTTTTTTAGAACATATTTCTTAAATTGTATTTAACTGAAATGAACTTCATTCAGTTGTGTGCTTTAAAGTTGATCATCAATTATGCTTTACATGCGTGTAAGTATATATATAATAAGTCATTGACTTAGAGGTAGTCATCTTAATGTTTGTGTATTCATTCAACAGATATTGAACCAAAGGCAAACGGCTCCACTCCTGCTGACGACAGAGCTGAGAAGCCCATCTTGTCTCCAAGTGACAACACCTTTAAATTTGACTTCCTCTGTGACACATCTCCAGCACTTCAGGAGAAAACCTCTTCATCAGAGGGGACTGAACCAGCAGAGAGTCAGATATCCTTTACAGGACAGAGCTCTGCATTTACCTTCAACTTTCAACTACCTCCTGTGGAAAACATGGACACAACAGAGATCCCTTCCTCTACAGGCAGCCAGCCGTGTGTCCAAGAGGAAAAGCCTCCCCTGTTGCAGGAGGTCATCTCTCCCCCGGAGCAATCAGAAGCAAAGCAGAAGAAGAAGAAAAATAAATCTGGGAAGAAAAACCCTGCAGATAAGACAGAGGGACAGAAGAAACCAAGTTCAGCTGAGGGGAGTGAAGGAGGCGAGGACACAGCGCTGGTCAGTATGAAGTGATTTCCCTCAAAGTGATCATTGTGTGTCCCAGTGGATATGTGAATTAGATGTTTGTGTGTTTCAGAGTGCGGAGGAGCAGCTGAACAGGCAGCTGGACTGGTGCATCGAGCAGCTGGAGTCAGGAATGATGTCCCAGAAAGTCACACCCAAACAGAGTGAGTTGTTTACCTTCCATCTCACCAGAGGCCTGTACTACGAAGCCGGATTTTCGCTTAGCGAGCTAACTTCAGGGAAAACTCTGGGTTTCCGGTCCTAAGACGCTGGTTCACTTCTTACCGGGCTAGATCTCCATGGTAACTGATGCTGAACGGCTAACCTGCTCCGGAGCAGGTGAGGTTGCAGGCTAAGAGCTCAACTCAGTGAAAGCACCGCCTGCTGACCAATCAGAGCTCAGTGTGCGGAGTTTAAAGCGATCAAGTCATATTAAAGGAGAAAGGAAAAACTGTTGTTGCATGAAAGACGGCCGGCAAAAATCAACTGACTGTGAACGTGAAAATGAATAGAATATCACCTCCCATCTTCAGAGCAATCTGACTAATATAACATTAGCATTAAGGAAGCTTACTTAAATATCTGTCACAACATAAGTAACTGGATCAAAGTAACATTACGTAGAGTCCGCGGCACTGTGAGTGCAGACTTCAGGTCAGAGGGCCTAGGTATAAAAGTTACGGCTCGCCACTGGTCAAATGCAATTAAAGTAAGATCCACTCGTGTCTTAGACGGGGCAATGATATCATAAACCTGTTAATGTATACGAGTAGTATTATTCATCCCGCTTCAATCTCATTAGTATGCATAAAAAGTGACAGGTCACACCTCCCCCATTATGCAAATGAGCTAAGTCCCGCCTCCCCGAGGTGTGAGATCTCAAGTAGGTGTGAGATCNTTTTTCTTAATGTAAATACAAACTTAAATTGCTTTCCTGCATTCTCACAGTGCTTAACATAGTTGTAAATAAATCATAACTAATAAATGATCTTATTAACAATATTCTTCCTAATAAATGATCTTCCACATGAAATAGGTCAAATAGACGAACTTACAGCATTGCCTCTAGGACAGGGGTGTCAAAGTCAATTTCATTACGGGCCACATCAGCATCATGGTTGCACTCAAAGGGCCGGTTGTAACTTATATATAATATATATAAAATAATGTATTATATTACATGATTGCCTCTGCATTGGATTATTATCGGATAGGGTAATAACTTCATAATTAACTACGTCTGAAAGCAGAAGTCTAGGGCAAATAATTGCAAGTCTCTTCAGTGTGCATGTCACAAAATGATTTAAAAAGAAAAGCCAAATTCTGAAGAAAAAAGTCTAATTTGAGATGCATTGTGGGGCATGTAGTTTATGGGCAATGTGCTTCTGTAAAGCGGCATGTAACTGTATAATACACATATGATATTCTTTGCAAGCTCTTGTGGGGCCGCATGAAATGAAGTCGCGGGCCGGATTTGGCCCCCGGGCCTTGAGTTTGACACCCCTGCTCTAGGATGTTCCTTGTGGATGGAAGCAGATTATATTTGGAGAAATACACTCTCTGACCATGCCGTTTCTCTAACGTTAGACCGGAAGTGGCGATGCCATGAACCGGAAGTGATGCTAAGAACGGCGAACCCAAAGATAATAGGACCATTAGCACTCCTAGTGGTGACCCCATGAACTGCAAACAAACCATAACTCCATAAAATGCCTCCAAGGCAGCACAATTATTATACTATTATGTTAAGAAAGCTTAATTAAATATCTGCCACAACATAAGTAACCAGATCAAAGTAACATTACGTAGCAGTCCGCGGCACTGTGAGTGCAGACGTCGATGTGTCCCATTATCATTCATATCACATCATAATGTATCATATATTTCCTTTTCTGAGTCAGCTGAGCCGTATCTGGCCGTGCAACACTCAGTGTCACATACTGTATGCAGAAGTATTATTTTAAGCAACACATTAAGTTGACGAAACACTCGAGACAAATGTAATTAAAGTCAGATCGTGTCTTAGACGGGGCAGTGATATCATAAACCTGTTAATGTACGCATTCAAACACTTTTTCTTTTACCAGCTGTATTCACCTTGCAGGTGCAGCTATGTGGCTTTGATCCTGGATAAAGTGTTTAAGTCATGGATGTTTAAAGTTTAACTTCTTCATATTTGACTAATATTATAGTTGACTAATCATTCAGGAAGTATGACGCTGCGCTGTCAGTACGCTTCTCCATGTTCGGCTTAGGCCTAGACCTTCTAGAGCCAAATGTAAAACCTTCATTTTTCACTAGAACACCGAATTTTTTTCCAACGCAATGGTTGACGACATCTTCTTACTATCCGTACTGTAACGCGAGATAGTGTACTTTATTTATTAGAAATTTTACATTGGGAACTGTGTCCATCGTTCAATTCTGTCTTTATGTTCGTACAATCAGCTTTGTTTTGTAATGACTCATATAAGTTTTCCGGATTTTTACTGTAATTTTCTAGTACAACCAATTTGTTCCCATTTACGTTATATGGGATATAACTCTTCCTTTTAAGAAGTGTAAGTATAGAGTAAAGTACGAAACTGTTATTTCAACACACAGAAATTTGTTATTACCTTATCAAAAAACTCATTGTATACAAAAAATTACACACGTTTGGCCAAAGGTATATTTTTTAGTACAATTAGGGTGCCGGAATAAAGTCACGTCCCGACTTTTCACCCTCCCCCCGGTTAAAACCGGGGGACCGAGGGGTGGCGAAGGCTCGCGGGAATACGACATCTCTCCTCTCTTCCTCTTCTTTCTTAGCCCCACAATGTTTACCACTGGCTCAGTAGACGGATTTCATGAAGGTGTCCTTTTCTCCCTACCTCGCTCCCTAGTCTCGGTCCTTCTCGATCGTCCTCTGACTCCGGTTCCTTTCTCCTAGTTTCGTCACGACCGTTGGCCGTTTCATGTCTTCTTCGGTCGTCTCAGAGAGACATGTAGGAGTGTGTGTGCCCACAGGCTGCGCCTCTCCGTGGATAATTTTTCCTAAACGAAGACCGTTCGACGGAACGAAATATAGGAACAGAAAAAGGGTGTTCGGGTTGTAAAGAGCGAAGAAAAGAAACAGAAGTACAAAGAGAGATTAGTAGAAAAGTGGATATATACGTCGCGCGCGGGGCCGCGCGCTCTCTCCCCCCGCCTTCCCCTGTGTGTGAGATCCTCTGGGAGTCGCCGTCAACATCATTACCTGGGCGGGATAACCCATGATTAGTTTTAATGTAAAGTTACATTTATTTTCCTTTATTCACAGTGTCAATAACACGTTTGTCCTAGATTCTAGTTAAAGAGAGAATAGCTTCTTACGTCAAGTGGGTTATAAGTATAAATTCTACTAGCCCTTTAATCAAACATTACTATTATCTTTAGTGCGAGGGAGTAAGGTCTTTCAGCTACAATAAAAATACACTTACCATTCTTTTCTTTGTTAGCTGTCACAACATTCCGGCTACTTACCCTCACGCCCTCCGCCGCACATCATACCTTTGTGGTGTTGTGCAATAAAGGTTGTGTAATGTCGTTTCCGACCTGCTTCGACCTAAAAGGCGAATCGGGATTGAGTCCCTTCTCGAGACCCAAGGCGGATGCTTCGACCAAGAGAAATCGTCGATCTAGAGAATACGGACCCGCCGGATTGGACGGAGCCTCGTCCCCACATATGCTTAGATCAAAGTTTGGTAGGACCTTACAAAAACTCAATAGGCAAACTCGAATTTGGTTTTGTTTCGGCGGCGAGCAGCGAATTTGACAGGATGGTTTGCGGACCGATAGTGAGCAGAGCGTGCGGAACAGGATAGATCAATCTCACCGCCCGCAAGTGTTTTTCCCGCATAGGACCTCGTAAGCT